TGTTGTTTTACTCCACAGGCGCCAAACTGGAAGATCCATGCTGCTACGGCCACACACAGTTTCACATGGTGCCGGATAGGTTTCGCAGGGACAAAATGAGCAAGAGAGGCCTGTCTGACCAAGTTGAGGTGTTTCTAAGGGCGAACGGTATTGCCAGCCTGTTTGCATGGACAGGGGCACAGGCTATGTATCAAGGTTAGTATTTGGATCTTTTTATGGGGATTTTTTTTATTAAATAATTTTGGTAATGAATATCAGCTGTGTCATTGAATCATTTGTTTAAATGGATTCAAAATAATTCAAATTAATTATTTTTTTAAATGGACTATAGCATTAACATTTTGTAGTTCATCTATTAATTCATCTAGTAATTACATATTTAGTTGTCCATTCAGAATCGTGATCTCTATTATAAACAAAAAAAGTATTTCTTCCTTAACTAAAGATGTTTTGTTCTGCCAAGGCTTTTGGACTGAAGAGGACGTGAGCAGGCCGTTTGTGTCTCAGGCTGTCATCACAGATGGGCAGTTCTTCTCATTTTTCTGCTATCAGCTCAATACTTTGGCTCTGAGTCCAAAGGCTGATGGCAACAATGCCAGGAAGAACTTATGCTGGGGCACAGAAAGCATGCGCTTGTATGAGAGTGTCACAGATGGAGACATAGTGGGCTTGAATGATGCAGTTCTGAGACTGATGCTGCAGCTTCTGTTGAACAAACCACTGTGAGAATACTGAAGCATAGATATATGTTATGATTGTTCGGTGTGTGTCAATAAACTATATATATATATATATACAGCTGTGTAGTTTTTGTCTCCAAGTTTGATTTAAAAACTAGATGTTTTAAGATTTTGTTTTGCGTTTTTAAGTCACTTTTATTTAGTTCTTTACGATACAGATTATTTCGAAACAGCTTTACAGTGTTAACAGGAAAATAGCGATTCAATGATGCAAGCAGAATTCAACTCTGCTGTAAAGCAGCTCTACAAAGACAATAGCAAACCGTTATTAATCAGTTCAGTGATGTACATCAAATACGAAAGATCAATTCATATATAAAGCAGAAAGCAGTCATGTCATCATCCAGGGCAGTGTTTCCCAAAAGCATCGTAAATTGCCTCCAATGGTCTCTACAATCAACTTAAGCTTGCGATGCTTTTGGGAAACGCAGCCTAGCTCAGTTCAGTTCTCCTATGATACTGTCAGTGTATTCAAATCAGTAATATTGCTGAATATTAAGTGTCCCTGACTAAACAAGCCAACTTCACAGTGATTTTGGCTAAGGTAATAGACTCGCTGTTTTTGCTGATGCTGAATCGTCTTTAGCATACAATACATTCATTTGTAACTAAGTTAAACGTGTGTTTAAACTACACCTGGGGAAACTCACTTCACCTTCAGAGGCTCTGGGGCAGCTCAGTCTCTCCAGTCGGGTTGCAGGGCCACTCCACTGCCCCACAGCAGACTCGCTGTGTCTGTGTGTGTGTGTGAGAGCCAGACTGAGCGAACGCCGCTCTCTGCTGCACGTTGAATCAGGTAGAACCGCTCCTGCCGGGAAGATAACAAGTGTGACTCCGAAACGAAGAGCACCTGAGGGATATACAAACATTAAAATCAACAATAAAAATGCTAAATAAATGTATTGATCATTAACCTTAATATTCAATTTCATTCACATTAATAAATTAGGCAATAATACTGTATAATAAAAAAATCTAATTAAATATATATATATATATATATATAAAATGTAAAAAAAGATGTATGATTTAATTAACATTAACACAAGCAAAAATCAAATTTAAATTAATGTAAATCATATATAGGCTAGGCCTACAAGCATTAATAATAATATTAATAACATTAATAATTAATAATAAAAAATGAAAAAGTCATGTTTAAAAAAGATATTGTATTATTTGTCTCCTAATAAGATGGAAAATAGCAGAAAATCGGCAAATCGGCCACGATGCAGAAAAAAAGTGCTCAGCATTGAAGGGGTGACACTCTAAAACATCAAGAGTGCAAAACAGACATACCCACCCACCCACACACACACACACACACACACACACACACTTTTATACACAAAAACACCAATAAATTGTGATTAAAAAATCTGTTTTGAATTTCTAAAAAATCTCTGCTTCATCAGAAAATTACGAAACTTTGTGACTTTTATGGCAACATGTATGTGAACACACAAAAAAATTGAGGTAATGATTCGAGCACTTTAAGTGGTCGTAAAAAAATGAGATACACTTCTGCTCTTCTGTCAAACATGACCGACCATAGGAAATGAATGGGAAATTGACAAAAACAACAATCTACAACTTCAAACTACAATTTGCAATCTACAAATTGGCCATGACGCAGAAAAAAGTGCTCAACAATGAAGGGGTGACACTCTAAAACATCAAGATTGTGATATTGACACTCACCCACACTCACAAACAGACGCGCACACACGCACAAATAAACACACACCTATATGAACCACTGTGTCTGTAATAGAGCAATGTTGTGAGAATATGTGAAATCTATTCAATAATTCAGTCATAATGCAGGAAAAGCTCACAGCAGTGAAGGGGTGACACTAACTTCAATACTGAAATTAACACACACACACACCTATAACAAAAAAATTAAGTAAATGTGTCCATGAACAGCTGGGGAATTCACATGCCTCTCCATAGAGAACTGTACATTTCATCTAGTGGTTACAACATGGTTCTACGCTTTCTCTCCATATCAGATGGCACTAATCTGCCTTCAAAAAATTTTTTTGGAAGGCCTAGTCTCTATTTTAACCTAAAATACTGCTTTAAAAAAAATTAAATAAAAAATGTATATATATAAAAAAGTTTGTATTATTTTCAATGGCAAAAATGGACCACAAACATTGCATAAATATTAATAAGTAACATCAAATTGGATCAAAATACAAAATTAAAAAGAAAAAATATAACTGAACAAAAATAAATTGCATTGGTTTTACTGGGATGGAGAAAGTTTCATTTTTAGGTGTCCGGTCACTTTTGACCGGGAAGATAACAAGTGTGACTCCGAAACGAATTGGCTATGATTCTACGCTTTTTCTCTATACTGTAACTAGATGGTGCTAATTTTCTTCAAAAAAATATTTTTTTTCTGAAGGCCAAGACTCTATAGTATACTAAAATACTGCATTCATAATTTGTAAAAAAAAAAAAAAAAAAAAAAAAAAAAAAAATTATATATATTTAGAAAAATATATATACTTTTCCATGGCAAAAAATAAACCATAAATATTGCATAAATATTAATAAATTCAATCAAACTGTCTCAAAATACTAAATTAAAAAGAATAAGTATTATAGAACAAAAATAAATTGCATTGGTTTTACTGGGATGGAAGTTTCATTTTTAGGTGTCCGGTCACTTTTGACCGGGAACAAGTGTGACTCCGAAATGAAGAGCACCTGAAGGTTAAAAAGCAATAGCCTGCACAACTTAATTCCTATGTTCCCCTTAAAACAGTCACCGGTGCTTTCTGTAATATGCATGTACTTGCGGGCGTCATGGTTCGGTGAATGAAGATAAAAATTAATAACTCGCGTGCAATTTAATTAATGTAATGCGGAACTACATTATACGCGGGTTCTTTAGGGATATAATCTGAGATTTCAATGCTGGAATGTAAGATCAAACAATGTTGTTTTATATGTTTTTAATACCTCGTAATTTTGTACATACAGGAAATTATTCAAACTACAATGTGTTAAGTTATATTTGTTTACACTCGCAATAAAACACAACATTGTGCTTTTGTCAAACAAATTCTTGCGTGTTTTGAGTGAGTTTCTTTCCTGTTTATGCTCGCCAGCCATAATCTCCGTCGTTGTTCGGACAAAAGCTTAGTCTTCTCACATCCATACGGAGTCTAATGACGGGTATAGTGTAAAATCCCGATTTAACTGAACCTCCGGCACGATTTTATCATCCATTGACCCAGCAGGAGATGACCATTTTCACTTTATAGCACGAAACTCATTTCACTTCGTTCAACTTTTTTTTTTTTTTTTTTTTTTTTTTTTTTTTTTATTAAACGTAAAGAGCATTACAATCAAAGAAGCAAAAAATTAAAATAAATAATAAAAAATGTCAAAAAATAATCCACAGTACAGTTAAAGTAAAAAAGAAAAAAAGTAAAATAAATAAATAAATAATAATAAAAAAATAAAAACATTTAATCACATAAACACATTAAAAGTAGAACAAATAACCACAGTTTTAACAGCTTTTTTGTTTTGCATAGAAGAGATAGTAGAAATATACTGTTCCATTTCAGCTTTTAGCACAGAAAAAAGAGGCTTTTTATTACTGAATTTACACTTATGGATATGGAATTTGGCAACGAATAAGATTAGGTTTACTAGAAAGAGTGCACTACTGTCCTTCCCACAGTTATTAAAGCAACCAAAAATTACATTTTTGTAGTACAGGGAGAACTCAGGAAGAATATTTTCAACTATAAAAGAATTTAAGTCTTTCCAGAACTTATAAGTGAATTCACATTCACAAGACCAAAATAAATGTGATATAGTTTCAGGATGTAAACCACAAAAGGAGCATTTTATATCAATGTCATTCTTAAACTTATTTAAGCAAACATTTGTGGGGTAAAACCTGTGTAGTAACTTGAATGAAACTTCTTTAATTTTGTTAGTTAAAAGAAGCTTCTGGGGTAGGGACCAGACTTTTCCCCAGTCTAAGTTAAGGTCAAAATTATTCCAATAGAAGGAAGCAGAAGAAATAGAGACTAGGTCCGCCTGAAACAAAGATCTAATTTTGGAATTTGAAGCTTTATAGGTAGAGAAACAGACTTTACCTAACGGAATCTGTGTTGGATCTGGAGGTGACACTGATAAAGGCGGAGAGATATCACAAGACCTAAATAACATATGAAGACCCGAGGGCACAGCATCAAAAACTATTGAAAATTCTCTTGGGCTTACTGGAATCTTATATTTGGCAAGAAATTCTGAATAACTGAATAGTAGACCATTCTTATTAAAGAGTTGACTGACTAATAAAATACCGTTATTGAACCAATTATCGTAAAAAAGCGACTTGTTCTTATAAACAATATTAGAATTGTTCCATATAAAACACCTCTGTGGAGAGAAGTTATGCTTGTACAGCAAAGCCCACGCCAAAAGAGCCTGTTGGTGGAAATTGGAGAGTTTAACTGGGAGTTTTTGTATTTTATAGTTACAGAGCAGAATAAATTTTAGGCCGCCTAACTGTGAAAAGACATAATGAGAAATAAAATTCCAGATGGAAGTAGGGTTTTTGAGATATTGCTTGATCCAATTTATCTTGAAAGTGTTGTTGAGAGAGCTAAAGTCAATGAAATTTAAGCCCCCTTTGTTGTAGGAATTCAGAACTACAGACTTACGAATATAGTGAGTTTTATTTTTCCATAAAAAATTAAATAGCATCTTATCGACAGATTTACAAAAGGAGTTATCTACATGTAATGACTGAGCAGCATAGGTTAAACGAGAAATACCTTCCGCCTTGGTGATTAGAACTCTGCCTTTCAAAGAAAGATCTCTTTGTAACCATCGATTGAAAACCATTTGAGTTTTTTCAATGAGGGGAGAAAAGTTTAATTTACCTCTGGCTTTTCTATCTTTAGTGATATGAACACCAAGATATGTGACTGAATCTCTTACAGGGATATTACACACAACGGAAGCAGAGCAGTTATTCACTGGTAACAGTTCACATTTGCTAAGATTGAGGGTGAGACCGGAAGCTTCGGAAAAAGAGCGAATAAGGTTAATCGCAACTGAAACCTGTGAAGCATCTGCCAGAAACAGGGCTGTATCGTCCGCCAACTGACTGATTAAAATATGATTATTTGCCACAGTAATGCCTTTAATAGGACTGTTTTTAATGTGTAAATTAAGAAGTTGGGCAGCGAGAAGGAAAAGGTAAACAGAAAGAGGACACCCTTGCCGTACTCCACGCTTTATATCAAACCTTGGGGATGTACCATTACTTAATTTAATAGAACTGTTTCCATTAGTGTACAAAGTTTGGACCGATCTGCAGAAGAACTGACCAAAACCAAACCTTTTTAAGGTTTCCAATATGAAATCATGCTCTAAAGAATCAAAGGCTTTGTAAAAGTCTAGGAAAAAAATAAAACTGTCTTCATGAACTAGCTCAGAGTAGTCTAATAAATCTAAAACCAATCTCACATTATTTGAAATATGCCTATTTTGCATGAACCCAGATTGGCTCTCATCAATAATAGAATCTAGTACTGATTTTAGTCTCTTGGCAAGTATCAGAGCAAAAATCTTATAGTCACTGTTTAATAAGGAAATGGGGCGCCAATTATCTAACAGAAGAGAATCTTTCTTAGGCTTAGGAATGAGAGTAATTAGACCCTGACTTAATGTAGGTGGCAAGGAACCTCTATAAACACTCTCAGCAAAAACTTCTTTTAAAAACGGGGCTAGGCTCAGAGAAAAATGTTTATAAAATTCGGCAGTAAAGCCGTCCGTTCCGGGCGATTTATTAATTTTTAGTTGATTAATAGCACTAGTAATTTCATTTAAAGAAATAAAGGCATCGCAAAAGTCACTGTTAGCTTCAGAAATCTGATTGATATTAGGAATAGAATTAAAGAAACAAGTAGCATCTTCAGGACAATATCTTGAGGTGTAAAGATCACTGTAAAATTTAGCACAATACTTGGCAATTTTCTTTGAATCGTCAGTAATTATTCCATCAATACTTAATTGTTGAATGGTGTTATTTTTGGATTGCTGCTTTTCTAGTCTAAAGAAATAAGCAGAGTTCTGCTCACCCTCTTCGAGCCACTTACGGCGAGATCTAACAAAAGCACCTTCCGCCTTTCTTTTATATATCTCATCCAACCTATGCTGCTTGTTACGGCTGGCTCATATACCGCAACATAAAAGAGGCAAACAACAAATGTTTTAACAATAAACCAATTTATTATCAACCAAGCAAACAAATGTTAAATAATCAAAAAGAAAGAAAAAAAACCCGACGTCTAGGGGAGGGGAAAACACACGCGCGTGGTTACTAAATAAACAATATCTGGCACTAAAAATAAATATGGGAAAACAACAATACTAAAGAAATAATGTGCGAGAGATGAGAGAGATGTGAGAGATGAGAGAGCTCTCACACCAAGTCACAGGTCTTTATACTAACCCCTATAAGGAGTTAATTAGGGATTGTATACACCTGTTGCCCAACTAACGTCTGCACTGTGTAGCAGAGCCAGTAGGGGTAAACAGGCAGGCGTAACACCTCCCCCACAAAATGTATTCCTCTAAGGAATGCAAAAGAAAAATAAAAAAAAAAAACAACAACAACAAATTCTCCATGATTGATCCCACTCCACTTGGCTCCTAACTCCTGCTTCCTGGGCCCTAGAAAACAGGATAGAAAGAGAAGGGAGAAAGGGAAAAAAAAGAGAAAGAACAAAATACATCCTCATACTCGAGATAGGGCATCAGCGATGACATTTTCACTGCCCCGAATGTGTTTAATGTCAAGGGAAAATGGTTGCAAAAAGAGACTCCACCGCATTAACCTCTGATTACGATCCTTCATTCGGTGTAAAAACACCAAAGGATTATGGTCCGTATAAACGATGATTGGACTTGCAGATGATCCCAGATAGATTTCAAAATGTTGGATGGCCAAAACAAGAGCAAGGGTCTCTTTTTCCACAACAGAGTAAACTCGCTGATGGACATTGAATTTTTTTGAAAAATAACAAACTGGATGTTCTATTCCGTCCAGACTTCTCTGTAGGAGAACAGCTCCCGCTCCAGTATCGCTGGCATCGACAGCTAAACAAAAAGGCTGAGAGAAATCTGGTGCAACAAGCACAGGAGCACTAGCCAACAATGCTTTTGCTCCATCAAATGCCAGTTGGGTAACATTGGTCCAATTAAAGGGTACTTTAGTACTTATAAGATCGGTCAAAGGTGATACAATAGAGGCAAAGTTTGGGCAAAACCCGCGATAATATCCGGCCATTCCCAGAAACCTACGCAATTCTTTGCGATTTGTAGGCACTGGAAATGCACAGATGGACTCAATCTTAGCTTCGATGGGGCGAACGTGTCCATTTCCTACTATTTTTCCTAAATAGGTAACAGTAGCTTTCCCAAATTCACACTTTGCCAAATTTAACGTTAAAGAAGCCTCAGTCAAACGAACGAATAATTTCCTTATTTGGACTAGGTGATCGGTCCAAGATGAACTGTACAGAACTACATCGTCCAAATAAGCGTCACAGTCAGATAATCCAGACAACACCTTATTTATAAGGCGTTGAAAGGTAGCTGGAGCATTTCGAACCCCAAATGGCATAACACAGTACTGCAGAAAGTCATCAGGTGTCACAAATGCAGACAGTTCCCTTGCTCTAACAGTTAGTGGAACCTGCCAGTACCCTTTTAAGAGATCAAACTTGCTCACAAATTTTGCAGACCCCACTCTATCCACACAATCATCTATGCGGGGTAAAGGATAGCAGTCTGGCTTAGTGATGGAATTAAGCTTACGATAGTCTGTACAAAATCTGTAGGATCCGTCAGGCTTATTTACAAGAAGACAGGGAGAACTCCAGGCACTAAAACTGGGCTCAGCCAAGTTATGATCTAATAAGTAAGTCACCTCCTTTTTCAACAAGTCCCGTTTCACAGGGTTTACCCTATATGCATGCTGCTTAATTGGTAAAGCAGAACCCACGTCGATGTCATGTTCAATCACTGTAGTACAAGTAGGCACATCAGAAAACAAGTGAGGAAAAGACTCCACTAACTGAAGAATGTCACTTTTCTCAGAGGGAGACAGATGGGGTAAATGATGGGCCAATTTTGAAAACATCTCAGAATTATTCAATTGTCCTTCGACAACTCCTCGAGAAGGAAAGTGAATGCAATCATCCCCCATACAGTTCGAGGAGGAATTCTCTGAAGAGAAAGTCCCCTCCCCACTCAAATGAGAAGAATCATCAATCACAGTGGTTACTAACCCCACAGAAGATGTAGGAAGAAAGTAAGGCTTCAGAAGATTTATGTGGCAAACCTGTACTCCCTTGCGTCGTTCTGGGGTTTTCAAAAGATAATTCTGTCCAGAAAGGCATTTGAGGACCGGATAAGGACCTGCAAAACGGGCTTGAAAAGGATTACTTACAAGTGGCAACAAAGCTAGCACCTGGTCTCCAACCTGAAATTTCCGAGCCACTGCTTGTTTGTTAAACAACCTCTCCATCTTACACTGTGACTTCCCCAGTTTCCTCTGAGCAATTGCTCGAGCCTCATGCAACCGGTATCGAAAACCACTCACAAAATCCAAAACATTCTGGGAGGGCTCAGAAGGAATCCAGTTGTCAGCTAAAACTGCAGTGGGACCACGAACTTCATGACCAAATACCAGATCATTTGGACTGAATCCAATACTCTCCTGAGTAACCTCTCTAACTCCCATAAGCAACCAAGGCAACCCCTCCTCCCAATCAGAACCAAGCTCCACACAGTATGATCGTAGCAATGACTTCAGGGTCTGATGAAATCTTTCGAGGGCCCCTTGACTCTGAGGGTGGTATGCACTGGAAATGTTATGCCGGATTTTCAACTGACGTAAGGCCTTAGCAAACTGACGGCTCATAAAGTTAGAGCCCTGGTCAGACTGGATAATTCTAGGAATACCAAATGTTGACATGAAAGAAGTTAAAGCTTTTAGAATAGATTTTGCAGTAATGGACCTGACAGGATATGCAGCTGGATACCGGGTAGATAAACACATAACTGTGAGTAGATACAAGTGACCAGTCTTTGATCTAGGTAAAGGACCTACGCAATCAACCAGCAAATACTCAAATGGTTTGGATATAGCTTGAATAGGTTGAAGAGGAGCCACAGGTATTTTCTGGTTTGGCTTTCCAGTGAGTTGGCACACATGACAAGTTCTAATAAACTTTGCCACGTCTCTTTTTAAACCAGGCCAGAAGAACTTGCGTTGCAATCGATCATGTGTTTTCCTCACTCCCATATGTCCAGCCACTCCATCATGTGCTAACCCGATCACAGTCTGCCTAAATTTAAGAGGAACTACCACTTGAACATAAACCTTAGTAACGGGTTCAGATTTACTAACCCACCGTCTAAGCAACATTCCATCCTTCAGGAAGTAACCAGAGGGAAGCTGAGTCTCAATATCCCCGTCGACACGAACCATTGAGAACAAAGGTTTAAGAGTTACATCAGCAAATTGTTCTTGAATCAATTCCGCTCTAGAAACATGAAAAATAGAGGATAAAAGATCTTCTGATATTGTTTTCTCCCGAAATACAGACTCCTCAGAAAAGAAATCAGAAATGTTCTCTGCCAAGGTCATACCAATTTGTTCCCCTTCAACTGTCTCACCATCAGCCTCAGGATGTAAAGAAACTTCACCTTCACACAGTTGGTCGGCATTTAGTCGTTTTGTTCTGGCTCGGGTGACAGCACAGGAAGGAAACACATGGGGAAATTTCTGACCACATTCATCAGGAACATCTGCAGACATAGGTGAAGACACGACAACAGTAGATGGTACAGGTTTTGATGTTGATGTTCCCCACACATTCCCCTGAGCAAGATCGTTCCCCAAGATAAAAGAAATCCCTGGCACAGGAAGGGAAGACTGTACTCCCACAATCACATCACCAGTTATCAGATCAGATATAAGATGTACCTTATGTAAGGGAACTTTTAAGAAAGTCATTTCTATCCCCCTAATCAATACATCCTTCCCAGTCGCAGTCTGATCTGAGAGTGGAAGAACCCCTTCTAGCAAAAACGATTGAGAAGCTCCGGTGTCTCTCAGGATCCTCAAAGAAACTTTTTCCTCTTGTCCTGGCAAAGACACAAAGCCGCTGGTAATAAACGGAGCATACGCAGTATAATTATCCCCGACATCTACTGGTTTTGAGATCCCCTTCCCAATCTCAGTGTCCTGTTGGTGAGCATGAATCTCCAGCGGTTCACGTCCAACCAGTCCAACTGGCTTAGCAGACTTCTTTAAAGCGTTACATTCAGATATCTTATGTCCCACCTTGTGACAGTAAAAGCAGGTCACCTTACCCTTCTTGTCTGATGAAAAATTCTGACTGACAGGGGGCACACTTGACACGGTATTCGATGTACTCACTTGAGGCGTCCAATGATTCCGAAATAACTTCCTACTCTGATCACTTGAACCTTTATCAGGAAAAGAAACTCTGTGAGTCAGAACAAATTCATCAGCCAACACAGCTGCATCAGCTAATGTAAGAGCCTTCTGCTCATTCAAATAAGTTGACACAGACCCTGGTACACAGTTTTTAAATTCTTCCACAAGAATTAACTCCCTTAACTGGTTCAAGGTTTCTACTTTCTGAGACTGACACCACCTTGTAAACGTGATTTCTTTTTCCCGAGCAAATTCAACATATGTTTGCCTTTCAAGTTTTTTAGAACCACGAAATCGTTGGCGATAAGCCTCTGGTACCAACTCATACGCTCTCAAAATGGCTATTTTAACTTGTTTGAAATCTCCACTCTCTTCCTCGGAAAGAGAAGAAAACACCTCCTGAGCCTTCCCGGTCAGAACACACTGCAAAAGCAAAGTCCAGACTTCTTCTGGCCATTTTAGAGAAGAAGCAACCCTTTCAAAATGGGCAAAGTACCGGTCTACATCACGTTCACAAAATGGGGGAACCATCTTAATGTTTCTACCTACATCAAAAGAAGAATGCCCAACCGGAATGGACTTTGAAGCTTCAGCTTTTTTTACTTCCAGTTCAAGTTCTAACTTCTTCATCTCATACTGCCTAAGTTCACGTTCGCTCTCACGTGCATACTCTAACTTCCTC